ACGGCCTCCACGTCTCTCAAACTTTGACGTGCATTATATTTGAATTTTTTGGGTTTGATTGACAAAATAAAAAATGTGTCCATTTTTTTATAATCTATCTGACGCACTAAACAGAATTCCGTTTATCCCTGAAAAAGTCCATAATGAGAGTTCGGGAACCAAAATGGTAGCAAAGGTGAACACTATCTAATTCTCTGAGGGTATGAATGAGTTTATGTCTGTTTGTTTATACAGTCTGTCGAATATTTACAATTATCCAAAACAGCCCAAAGAAAAACCATCGCTTTTCACAGAAAAATGAATATAATTTGGTCGCAAACTAATATTATTGGCTACATACTAAATCAAGATTTGTCAGATTTTTATTGAATGAAAAAGAGTTATTTAAAGAAACATATTTTTTATGTAGAAGAACTGAATCGTAAGGACAAAAATATGAACTAACGGCTAAAGTACCTGTTTTTATTTAACACTATTCTATTCAAGCAATAATATAATTAGAGATACCTAATAATAGTACACGGAAACTGAATATTTTGAATTTCATTTCACAAAAAGGGTTATGTACCCAAAGGCTATCAATAAAAAAAACAAGTGTATATTTCACTATCTTTATGATGTAACACGTAATCTTTAGTAAAAATAATCATTACACAAAACACTAATTATCGCAGTTAATTAATCATTTTCCGATAGCAACTGTGACGACATTGCAAATAACGCAAAATAAATTGCTTATTTAATTTTCTTTGACTGATATACAACAATTTCCGGTTTCAACGGATGTTGGTTTTGAGTCAATTAAATATTAATATTTCTGTTGTTAAGCATCAATTTTTTTCATCTTGACTTAAATTACATATTTTTTATATATTTTAGAAGAGATAGCATATTTAAAAGTTTTGTTATATGGACTTGAACTGAATAAAATTATTATTACATATTATATAACCAAATATTTTGTAACAGTTATTTCAAGCATAATAAATTCTTCACAATCTTTCATTGAGAATTAAATTTCTTAATCTCTCTTTTGAAGTTTTTTCCCATAACTGTGATATCTCATCAGTTCCAGGCTTTTCTTCTTTTTAATATGAAAAAGAAAACGTATGGCCAGGCTGATAGCCTACCAAATGCTTGCTATACTAGAGTATCACTTGCCAGTTGCCTACCCTGTCTACGTTGCTATCCTGTCTACATTTCTACCCCGTCTACATAATAATAATAATCCATTTATTCATAAACAAAATTGCAAAATGATATAACAGTCACCCATACTAGGCGAAGCCCGTCCTATGGGGGAAAGTAAACAATGAACAATATATCATTTACGGCCTAAAAATAATGGATACATTGATGATAGTACGCGCGTCTGTTTGTATGAATGTGAGTATTTTGTGTGTGTTTAACTGTGTGTTGTGTGTGTATGTGAATATACAACTCATTTTCCTTAATAGATTCTTTGCTCTGTCATACGACCATTTTTTTCATTCACTTTTCTACCCTGCCTACATTTTTACCTTGTCTACGTATCTATCCTGTCTGCGTTTTTGCCCTGTCTACGTTTCTCACCCCGTAAAGCTCAGGTAACCGTGAAAATTAAAACACAACATCAGCAAAAGGTACTGTTATTTCTCTGTGACGTTTTGTAATTAGAGTTGGCCTTCAGCTTCCATCAAAAAGAGCGACTCTCTTAATATTCACTATAAAATAATAAGTATAATGTAAACATTTCTTTTCACCTACCAACAAGTTGTTTGCGCAGCCGCTAAACGAAGTATGTTTTACTGTTTACATTCCTACTGAATATTGACACCACATGAGTAAAGAAGGCACAGTTTTTTTATACGATGCGCAGCAAATTACCCACCGCACCTGATATTAAGTGTAAGTGGAGTCCAGTCGCGAAGATAGATGATGCGGCAGAAAGTGTGCCGCTCCAGCCATCCTCACCTTGCCGGGCTGAAACCAATCCCCACCCTGCGGAGCCCTGGAACTTTACTCACCAGCAGTAGCACAACACCACCAAAAGGTAGTGTTATTTTACTGTGGTCTTTTCTATAAGGTGGAGGTTGCTTCCCTAGATGGGCGCTCCAATTTTTATTAATTTAAGTTTAAGGCGCGTTTAAGAGGCAGGTGCCTCTCTTAAACGCCCCCCCCCCCCCCCCCCCCGCTCCCCTTGGTGATACATGGTGAGGTGTAAGAGTAACCCCCCCCCCCCCCATAACACGTGTATTTTTTAAGTATATTTTGTTTAAAATATTTATAAAATACAGGAATAATGTATCAAGGTCGCAGGTTGTTTTTGAATGACAAAAATAATGAAAGGAATGCGAAAAACTTATACATACATTATTTAATGTACAGTATCTTCGGAACACGAAAATACACGTGATATATTATTATACCCCCCCCCCCCCCCCCGCCCCCCATTGTGATATTTCGTGTTTTTTTGGACCAACTTTTGGTGCTCAGTCACACATGCACATTGCTTGAAGTTATGCCTCTATGCCTTATTTTATCATGTGGTTCAACCGCAAGTCTCGGGTTCGGTGACTGATAGGTCGTACGAAGGCCGTCATCGTATGTAATTTTCGTTCCAACCTCACTAGTCGCTCCACCACTAGCGTCTACATCGGTTTGATTTATTAATAGTCATATGATTTCATCGGACTCCAGTACGCGCTTCGTGTGATCTAGATTAATTGTTGTTGTAATTGAAAGGCGTCGCTCATTTAATGAATTAAAAATTATTTATTGAATACGGTTGTTATTTGTATTTGAATCTGATTATTACATTTGATTGCTGAAAATAGGTGATATTTTTTCAACGAAACCATTTTTCTTTTTATTAAGTAATTGATTTAATTTGAGACTTTTTTGTGTACCGTGATAATTTAACTGCATCAAATAAAATATGAACAGCGGCGTTGATCTGGCAATATAATAAATATAATTTACAAGCCACTTCTAGTATGACGCGGAGCTATATCTGTGTTCAAATTTTATTTATTAACCGAGCCATCTATGTCCTAACGTAATCAATGAGCTATGACACTGTTTTTAGTTCTACCCCCGACATCAATGTATCTCCATATGAAACTAAATTGTTATTTCAAATGTTATGTTCTCATGGTAAGTGAAATAAGTATTTTTTTATGAGAATAAAGATCTTAAACCGTAAACCGTACTTATTTTTTCTAATATCCAATACTATTTTTGCACAATAATTGTTCTAAAAACTGCGAATTAGCAGTGATTTAAGCGTATAAAAAAATATTTTAAAATATAGACGATGAATCGAACTAGACAAATCATGATACAAAATGGTGAATACAGAGGAAATCCCTATTATCGATAGATAAATGTCAAAATGGTTATCGTCAGTGCCAAAATTAGGTACCTGTCTATTTTATTTTATTATGTTCTTATTAATATGATGTTACTAATTCGATACGTAAGTTTAGTTCGTACCTCTGTTCCTTTATAATTAGTACTTCGTCTAAATTTAGCTTCAGATCTGGCACGCCCCAATAAGATACGGACGATAATTTTGAATCTGCTCTTTTTTATAATTAAAACTCAAAATCAAACTTAGGTATATTATCAGTCTCAAAGCTCTTTAAACGTCACCTATTGCTTAATATTCACTATTTCATATTATAATAAGTACACAAATTTTATCGCTTAAACCTTCGCTTAAAGAGCTTAGACTCTTATTATTAATGACATAGAGTTGAGAATCGCGGTAGCTTCAACGTTAAAGTCCTACGTATTTTACTTGCAGCAAGAAAGTTGAAATTCGCTTGGCGTCTCAATCCATACACCGCACCAATTCGAGTAGAAAACGATTTGTTAAGACTCAAGACTTCACACGAATCTATTCAATTAATATGGCCGTTGAATTTGCAAATATTTCGTCAGCTTTGACGTTTTTCTTTGTTGTTTATAGGTAATCTAGATGACTTATTAATCTTTTTGCGCTAACCGATAAAGCGTTTGATAAAATAATGCCATAATAGGTAGGTATCAATACATAATTACAAAATAAATAATAATCATACATAACATACTCGTTATTCCAGCCAACATGGCGATCGACCACACTTATCAGTTTTGTGACTTGATTGTGTGTGACTTCACACCACAACATTTCGTTACTGAGGAATTTAATAAGTTTGCATTACTATCTTATTTCTTTGTCTGTTCAATCGCATACCATTTGGTTACGTCATAGGCGTCACTGTGGCCCCTGTCCCCTCCCAGTGGGCTCCTTTCCTCTCCCTTCCCTTTGCCCTCTTTATCAATCACTTTGAGCGATTATTATGAGCCTAACTATTACACACTCGAGGAGGCAGCTTCACGTCTAGTCCATATGCAATGTTCGCAGCAGAGGTCAATAAATAAAGTCATAACAAGTTTTAAAACGACCTTGTCAAGGCAACTAGGTACAATCGCCAAACTCGAGGTTACCGATAATATATTTTAAATGTTACTTCAGGTTCAGAAGAATGTGAGCGCTGTCACATCGTTATTGTCTTCATCATTTACTCGAATAATGTTTATTAAACAATTGAAACTCGCCCATGATGATCGTATTTATTTCAAGAATGATCTACTCGGCGAGAGCGATTAATATTACAGCCAAAGCCGACAGTTGATGTTATATCAATTAGTGCGTGCCAGATGCCTTTCCACGGAAAACCTGTTTCGGTCCTTTTTATCGCAGCGCTGCTTGAGCGTAACCTTTGTTGCTTACGTTTTTAGTTTACACCCATTATTATGTGTTTTTAAGTAAACTTATGCCTATTGCTCTTTATAAATACTTTCTTGTTCAGTTTTATTACAAAAGTGCGCGTGCATACCCACCGCGCGCTACGTCGATTCAATTACGAAAGACAATAAAAACAGTTTCCAACCAAAAGTGGTCCGATTGTCGGCCAGCAGCGGCCGGATGCGACGAACAAACAAAAAAAAGGTGTAGTGAAGCATTTGCCTACCTGCTAATTAGACAAAGAGCTCGCGATCGGCGCGTCTCAGTGACAACGCTGCACGTACACTAGCATGCATGCACACATCGGATAGGGTATACGATAGTGTACGCGAGAGAAAGAGAGTCGACGGCGGGCAAACGGGCGGGATGGCGCGTCTGTCCCCCGGCGGCTATCGGCGGCCACTGGGTTCGTTGAGTGCCGCTGCCGTGCCACTGATGCCGCCTGCCTTGGTGCACGCATTCATCGCGCAACGGGCACGAGCGGCGAACAGCTGATGGCCCGCCGGGGTTAACGCACACCTGTGTGGGCACACTCTCTCTTTCCCGCTCGCTGTCGCAGGCGCAACGTCTCGGAATCACGCGTGACGTAGTATCACCAGCTTCCCATGTGAACGACAAAGATGCGAGTGATATCTGTAGATTCTTGTTCTGTGGCAGTATGCGGTTCGCTACTGTTGCTAGGTCACTCGCGTCGTCTGATCGACTACTGTCGTTACGATGCACTGTGATTTTGCAATCAGCTGATATTTGATGTAGTCAAATTTATTGGCGATTTGGTTAAGGGTTTTTTTCTACTTTCTTCGTAGTTATTATTTGTATCAGAAAACATCTAAATAAATCACAAATTTTTGATGAAATAGGTAAATACCTGTTAATACCTACCTATATAAACAAGCCTTAAACTTGCTAAAATTACAATTCTAAAGTGAAACAAATTGTAAACATTGTAATATCCATCATTGGAGGAAAAATACACTTAAGTATCATACGAAATATTGAAGTGTATTTAAGTGACGCGTGAGAGCCGCCAAAGTTGAGAGGAAGTTTCAACTTGTTCGTTTCTCAGGCGACGATCGAATAAACAAAACACATGCTTAAGTTAAAGTTTTATTTGCATTCATTGTAGTTTTTTATGCCAAAAAGACACAATCTAACACTAAAGTGTTAGACTAGAAAACCCTATAATAAAGTTAAAGGCATTCTTCGTATTTTCAAATGTTTTTCAACCCGTCTTGTAATATTTTCGTAAAACTTTTTTGTTGTCATGGATTTTAGATAAGGTTTCTACTTTATTCTGACAGGGAACCGAATCCAGTGATGAATTCGGAAGCAATTGGATTCGACTCTCGGCAAAACACATTAGGCTTTTTAAGAATTTACTTTAACAAAAAATGTATATTAGACTTAACGAAGCTATTGTTCAAATGTAATGCATATTATTTAATACAGTTTTTTATGTTAATATTCACAATACACGTGCCGGTTAAGTAAGTAACATAAAACATGCGTAAAGTATTAACTTTATTATAGGATTTTCTCATTGTTTTGCTCTCGTAGAAATGGTTATTAAACGGTTCCAAGGAAACTGTGTAATTGTAAACAAAACATTACACGACTTCCATGTTGGATCGGGAACTAAACGCCCGCTACTAATTTATTCAATGCAAATTCCTGGTATAACTGAACTGTTTTACAAGAAAACTTAAATAAATTATACACCGCGATTTCTGTAATTTTTTTTTACCACACGACAAAACTATGGAAGTATACATTGTCACCGGCAGTGTTTCCTATACTGCCCGAAAACCTTTAATTACGCCGTGACGTGGCGTCACTAAGCGCGTTCTATCGTCTGTACCACGGCGAGTGTTCTGAGGAGATATTCTGTCTTATTCCACCTTCCCCTTTCCTTCAGAGGACCACGCGCGCTGGCTTACCTTGTCACCGTCGAACTGTGGCTACAATTCCAACGCATACAAAGAAATTTGGTGACTCATTTCTTTGTCGCACTATCCGTAAATGGAATGCTCTGTCCGCTCACGTGTTCCCTCCCTCTTACAACCTGGGATCCTTTAAAAGAGGCGTGAAGAAGCAAGATGCAGGCCGGCAGGGTGAGGATCATCTATCTTCGCGTCTGGACTTCACCTTCACTTAACATCAGGTAGGGTGGAGTCATTTGTCGGACCTATCTATAAAAAAAAAACCTTCAAAAAAAAAGAGCGTACTCCTTCCTTGAAGGCCGGCATCGCATTTGTAATACTCCTGGTATTGCAGGTATGCTATGGGCGACGGTGAACACTTGCCATCAGGTGAACCGTTAGTTCGTAATCTCCCGCAAAAAAAAGAAGTTAAATGGTAATTTTTGTTAGTAGGGGACAGTCGGAATTTCTTGAACGCGCAGTTCAGTGGACAACGTATATTATTTTGTTGGTGTGTTTTAGTCAGTAGGAGTCTGACACAACCTTGCAGCCGGCCGTAGGGTATCCAAGAGGATTTCAAAACCGCTCCTCCACCTGGTAGGAAACGTGCAAAAACCAAAATCGGTTGAGTAGTAATAATTTTTAACCTTTAGATTAGATTTGTTGCAAATGCAAAAGTAACACGTTACCACCACATGGAATATGAATTTCGGAGACTGGTGATAGGACTTCTACAATAAAAAAAAGATTAAAAAAGATTATTAAGATGGTAGATGTGTTGTTTTTTTTTAAACATCAGCCGTTTGCTATGACCTGTGTGAACTGTATTTAGTCTTTAGGAAAACTCTTATAAGCTCACCACTATTGTAATTATTATCCTGTTTGCAAAATTTCATCCAAATCTGTTCAGCAGTTTCAGTTTGTTTATTTATAATAATAGTATTATTAAGATTTCTGTGGAAACCTTTTAATGTTATTGCAACTAGATAATCAAAAAAATATGGATGGCCTATAATTTCTTAGATCGCTATATATTTCGACAAATGGTTATTTTGTCTCCAGTATTTTAACCATAGTGAAATTTAACTATAGATGAAACTACGCGGCCTTTGTCTCCAATATTTTTTTAATATAAAACGGATATTAGAACACATACAGTTTTATTTATGCTGTATAGGTATGCTGAGGGTAAAATTACCGTTATGGATAGCGATCAAATTGGATCACTTCAAAATTTCAAATTCGAACGCAGCATGGCTGCCTTCGGGGCTCGGTCGCGCGCAAGGTTGGCGCGAACGCGACCGCCGCGCGCCGCCGCCGAGGTCATTGTACATCGAGTTTGATGTCCTAAATACTAGTTATAAGGACATCAAATCTTAAAACTGTTTTTGTTATAGTCGGACTTCTGATAGTGATTCATGCAATGAACTAGTGCAGTTATCCAGTTCAACCAAGTTAGGTTTTTTTTTAAATAATGTGATCACTGTTTAAACGTATGTAAAATAATTTCATTTGTAATTTTCCACAATAGGTAGGTACCATATAGTTGACGATTTTTGAGCGAGGCTGCGAAGCTCGGTAAAGCTCTTTTTTAAATTATTCGAAAGTTGACACTTTATGCAATGGATGAAATGGGCGTTTAATTGAATATTTTGTTATCAGCACATGAGAAAAACGTACAGTGTTAGGATATTCAATCGTACTGCCCGTACAAATTTACTTGAGGCCTGGACCTATGACGTAATGTTCAATATACGGTGTGCACAGATATCATCATCATCATCAGCCTATTAATGTCCCCACTGCTGGGGCACAGGCCTTCCCTATGGATGGAATAGGGAGGTTGGGCCATGACCCACCACGCGGGCCCAGTGCGGATTGGTGGGTGCTAACGACTACAGATGCAGCCGGGACTAACGGCTTAACGTGCCTTCCGATATGATATATGCACAGATATGCGTCTTAGTATTTTAATTTCACATTTTTGAGATCTGCACGATATTAACAATAATAAGTACAAAATAAAAGGTTCTTGGAAGTGATACGAAATTATAAGTGATATATACTGTTGCCGTAAGGAGTGTCAAGTTAATGTATACTGGTTAATATATATACGGGTTGTAATTTTCCACAATACCATGGCATAGAGTAAGGAAGGATTGTTGCGCGAGGCTGCCAAGTTCGGCCAAGGTCTTTTTTAAATTATTCGAAAATTGTCAATGTTGTGTGCAATCCCTGAAACGTGGTGTGGTCATATCAACATAACTTGATATGGATTCTTTCACAATACACAATAGATTAGAATACGTTGCATCCTCAATCGAATGAACTAGAATATTCCAATGACGCAAAAATTTAGGGAAAACCTGAAATAGAATAATAATTTCTAAAATAAAATGTTTGGGTTTCCTTTTAAAATAAGAAAATGAATATAAATTGGTGTTATTTTATGAAACCACGATGTCGTGAAACTTTGCAAATTAAAATCATAATATTTTTATTTTTTAAGCATGTAACTGTTATTATTATTACATTTACATTTATGTTTAAATCTACAGAAAAGTTTACTAGAAAAAAATACAGGCGGACCAGGCAGCAGACGGGACTCGAACCCGCCCCCTTCGGTATCCGGGCAAATGCACTGACCATTACGCTACCGCGGCCCTGGCGGCCGTGTCGAATTTTCTCTGGCCTTAGGGTGCGGCCAGAGTGCACTCAGATTCAGATTCAGATTCAGATTCCGAAAACAAGCGCGAGAAATAAACAGTGTAGTCGAAGGGTACGGCCAGAGTGCACTCCTGATTCAGATTCAGATTCAGACTCAGGAAACAAAGCGCGAAAAAAAGCAGGCAACCTGCTTAGACTACACTGTTTATTTCTCGCGCTTGTTTTCGGAATCTGAATCTGAATCTGAGTGCACTCTGGCCGCACCCTTAGGCTGTAAGGCAGGGCCATCTTTTCGCATTGTAGGTAACCCACAATGTCAAATGAAATACCTTTACAAGTATTAAACATTTGAAAGAAGAAATAACAATTATATCATAACATAACATTTTAACAACAATAAAATCATAACATTTTATTTTTTAAGCATTTAACTGCTACATGTTTAAATATACAGAAAAGTTTACTAGAAAAAAATCCACGCGGACCAGGCAGCAGATGCGACTCGAACCCTTCGCTATCCGGGCGAATGCACTGACCATTATGCTACCGCAGCCCTGACGGCCGTGTCGAATTTTCTCTAGCCTTAGGCTGCAAGGTAGCGCGATCTCTTCGCATTGTAGGTAACCCACATTTTTTTTATCCTTAATAATTGTTATTTTATTAATACTAAAGACCCACTCAGTTAAACGAAGCTCCCACTTGTGATACCCAGCGGTCTTTGGTATCTAGATAATTATTTCAGAAGCAATCCTGAACAAAAAGCAACTTGGGTCGAATTTACATGCTACCTCAATATCTGCGGGGATTGTATCTTTTTACCTAATCTTGTTCGATTCTGACGTAAAATAAGGTTTTTTTAGAAATCGCATGTTTTCATCGGTTTTTGTAACTTCTATTTAGATAGCCTCGTTCCATGAAATGAAAAAAGAACGTAATATTTCTAATGAAGCCCATTGATTAATATTTTTTTTTATATTCTTAGCTACAATATCTACTTAATTAATGTTTAACTTAAAAACAAAACATTGTATAGAAAAAACTTAGCAAGTACTTTTTGTTAACGAATACAGAAAACTTTTTGAACATAAGTTCTTCCAAGTACTTATCGTTTATTTTTTCATATGAAATAAGTAAATTATATAAGTATCTGTCTCAGATTTCAGTCCACTCTTCGATACCATACCAACCGGAACAGAAATAATAATTTTTCATGTAATTTCCAATGTAACGGATGGAATACATAATCTGAAATATATATAACTATATGTATCTAGATACACATATAAACAT